GATTGTGGCTGGGCAACTCCAGGCGCTGCTGGATGAAAAGGATTTTCTGGATCCATTTCAATCGGGTTTCAGGCTGGGTTTTGGTACGGAGACTGCCTTGGGCGCCCTGTACGATGACCTTTGCCGGGAGAGAGACGGGGGAGTGTGACCCTGTTGATTCTCCTTCCTGTTCCAGAAGGCTTTTAATTGAAATAATATCAACTGTGGGTCCTGATGGCAACTTTTGGAGTATCTATTTTAATTGTATTTTAATTGTTTTATCTTTTTTACTGTAGTTAAATAGCTGTAAGCCGCCCAGAGACCTTTGGGTAGTGAGGGCAGCATATAAGTTAAATAAATAAATAAATAAATAAATAAATAAATAACTAAATAAATAAATAAATAAATAAATAAATAAATAAATAAATAATATGTAGCCTTTGATCTTCAGCTAAAGGGAAGTGACTGAATGTCACTTCACAATCCTTTCCAGGCCTATAAACCCAGTTTCACTAAAAGTGAACACAGTGTGAGTGACACTGAAGTATAGAGTTGCTTTAATGAAGAGTAAGCCATTTCCAGACTCCAATATCTTTAAAATCACAATATCAATGTCTTGCCAAATCTAATCAATGTACCAGCACGATTAAATATATAAACAGTAACTACCATTTCCACATGTGAATGAGTTTGATAATTAAAAACAATACTTTAAGCAAGGATATTTGCATATAAAGTGCAAATGGGCAATGTGTGCCAGACACAAGCTATTCTGAAAATTAAGGGAACATTGAAAGGTCAGCTAAAGCAAGCATGTGAAACTATCCCAGGAATGTTACCTGCAGGTCAGAGAGTTTGGCAAATGGCCTCACCCATTCCACATTCCATAGTATTGCCATCACTTGAATACAAGGATCCTATTCATGTGCATAACAAGCAAACAAGTAAGTTACTAGGAGACTCTGTAGAGAGGAAAATAGGTAGGGTCAGCAGCTCCAGATCCCTGTTTCCCTGTTACCACTGCTTAGTCCATTTAGGAACACCATTCCTGATAGAGCTGCAGGTCACCAGCATCTCATTCCCTCAGATTTCAGGGCCACAACCTAAGAACATGGGTACTTGTGATGTCAGAAAGGTGGAGCAGGCAAGGCACAGGGGCAGAAATGCTTTTTGGACAAGGCAATTATGGAAATGGGAAACAGCGAAATCCAGATACTGTAAATGGGCCCAGAATGCTAGTACAGCCCACCCAACCAGGTAACAGGACAACCCAGAGGTCTGTTAAAGGCCGTTAGCTATCTCTTAAGACTTCCATTGGCATCTTCAGAGTAAGCCACAGCAATAATTAATGGGTCTTTCCTGGAGGGCAGGGTTCCCCCTGCCCTCAAGGAGACATTAGGCCCATTAGGAAGAAACTGAATTCGGCGGCGGACTATATTGGCAATTATAGCCCCATCGCCAATGTTTCTTTCATTAGTAAAATAGTTGAGAGGGTGGTGGCCGATCAGCTCCAGGCGCATTTGGATGAAACAAATGCCCTGGATCTGTTCCAGTCTGGCTTCAGGCCGCACCATGGTACAGGAACGGCATTGTTCGCCCTGTTTGATGACCTATTGAGGGAGGCCGACGGAGGTAAAACGTCTCTGTTGGTCCTCCTCGATATCTCAGCCGCCTTTGATACTGTCAACCACAGTATCCTCCTGAGGAGGCTCTCCAAGCTGGGAATTGGTGGCCTGGCATCTGCCTGGCTCTGATCCTTCTTGGGGGATCACCCTCAGAGAGTCCAGCTTGGGGAGGGGGATTCGGCCCCGTGGAGCCGAAATTGTGGAGTTCCGCAGGGCTCGATTATCTCCCCAATGCTGTTTAATATCTGTATCAGGCTGCGGGGTGGGGTTATCAGGGGGGGTGGGGGATTGTACTATCAGTATGCTGATGACACTCAGCTCTACATCTCCTTTTCCCCTACCTCAGTGGATGCCATTCTGTCCCTTCAGCACTGTTTGGAGTCTGTACTGCAATGGATGCAGGAAAATGGGCTGAGGCTAAACCCAGACAAAACGGAGGTCCTGCGGGTGGTTGGACCCACCATCGGTGGTTTGGAAAACTCCCTCTCTTTTGGGGGGGTGACTCCCACTGTGAAGAGTGAGGTTCGCAGCTTGGGGATGCATCTGGATCCAGCACTCATCATGGAAACTCAGGTGGCGTCAGTGGTCCACTCCACCTATTTCATATCTGGCGGATTGCCCCGCTACGTCCCTCCTATCTTGATGTTGGGGCGCTTACCACTCTGGTCCATGCACTTGTAATCTCGAGATTAGACCACTGTAATGCACTCTATGTGGGGCTACCTTTGAGGTTGATGCGGAAGCTTCAAATGGTGCAGAATGCAGCAGCCAGACTCCTTAGTGGGGTGAGGAAACATCAACATATCACTGGCTGCCTTGCACTGGCTGCCTGTTCACTTCCGCATTGATTTCAAAGTTTTAATGATCATATACAAAGCCCTAAACGGTTTAGGACCTTGATACTTGGCGGAACGCCTCCTCCCACCTAGATCTACTCATATCACCCGTTCTAGCCAGGAGGGGCGACTGAGGAGCCTAACGTTGAGGGAGGTCTGGAAAGAAAAAACAAGAAACCAGGCCTCTGGCTCCCTGTCTTTGGAACAATCTCCCCTCCAATATCCGCTTGGCGCCTTCATTGGGCATTTTCAAAAACCATCTTAAGACCTGGTTATTTAGACAGGCCTTCCCTCCGGGCACCACTTAATTTACCTTTTGTTTCTCCATCTTGAATGATTGTTAACTGCTGTAAACTGTTGTAAAATTGTTATTATATAAAAATTGTTTTATATTTTGCTTGTTGTGAGTCGCCCAGAGTAGACAATGTCTAGATGGGCGGCATATAAGAGAGAGAGAGAGAGAGAGGGAGAGAGAGAGATAAATAAATAAATAAATAAATAAATAAATAAATAAATAAATAAATACACTGTGTCCCCTGCCCTCCCCTCAAAATGCAGAGTTCCAGATAACATAAAGCTATGTGAAAGAAAGGGGACGGGGTAAGAATGGGCAAATCAACAGCCAGAGACATATTGAGTACAATCTATATTATCTCTATATTTTTATTTGTCATATTTGCTTGTTTCTGCAGAGCAGTACAGTATCACAGAGACCAAAATAGAGACAGTAGGTCCCCTGCCCTCCCCTCAAAATGCAGAGTTCCAGATAACATAAAGCTATGTGAAAGAAAGGGGACGGGGTAAGAATGGGCAAATCAACAGCCAGAGACATATTGAGTACAATCTATATTATCTCTATATTTTTATTTGTCATATTTGCTTGTTTCTGCAGAGCAGTACAGTATCACAGAGACCAAAATAGAGACAGTAGCTTGTCCCTAAGCTCACATCAGTTATTACAGGATAGGTACAAAACTAGGTAACTCTTTCTTATCATACAGGGTATATTTTTTCCCAGTCATTTATATACAAAGATCTAAACTACATGGAAAAATAGTAAAAACAAATTTCTAGGGAGTATGTTACATGGTAAAAATAAGGACAAGGAGAAAAGAAAATTTGAGGGAGTGAGCAATGTCAAGAGATTTCTAATGGGATCAAGTGTATATGCACATCTATTAAATGATCAGCCACTGAGAAGCCCTAACTGGAATGCATGATCATTGCTGTATTGAGGGTCAAGCTCTTTGGCCCTATCCCTTTCTTGCCTTGAGGGACATCAAACATCCCCACCAATTTTTTTTTTCACACTGCCATTTTCCAAAGATGGAAAAAGTTACAGTTCTGAACTCCACCTCCCAGAATGTCCTTGCCTACATAACTGGGATTTTCTGGATGTTGTAGTTTAAAAAAGGGAATTTTCCCCATCTCAGGGGTTTTGATATGGCTTTATTGCTTTGAGGGGGTTACATCTACTTGGACCCACTACTTACAGAGAGCTTAAAGAGCAATCAGCTCCAATGCACAATATTTTTTAAAAATAACAAAAATATATAACTCTCCACCCAACACTGAAATACCTCCAAATCAGCAGCATAGACTTCAGCCATATCCGTTATTTTCTTTCAACAAGATTTATTTTCAACCGCAAGTAAAATGTAATGGTGCATGTTGTGAGCGGGTACACAGCTGGGAACAATATGGAAGCTAAAGGTGGATAAACAGTCCCATAAAAAAATACAAGTGAACATACTAATATTCTATCTTTCTCATATTCCTAAATTTAAAGTGAAAATGAATAAAAATATTGTATACATTTTAATGGTTTCTTCAATCTATACCTTGCTGAAATCCTGTTGTGCAACTTTGTGCTACCTGAGGCCAATGATGTCATCAGCTACAGCTGTTTTTTAGGAAATAAAAGATTTTGACACATAACAGTCTGCAGGATCTGAAGTTCTCTTTCACCCCAGGGAAGACTTTGGGTGCTGTCGGACCAGAGGAGGGAGTCTTCAATGTTCAAAAAGTACCACTTTTGAGAGGATCTTATGACTGGCAGTGATTTTCAGATATTAAAGACCCTCTCTCCCCATTCCACAGTCCCCAAAGGCCTCTCCAGGATGAACTCTCGAATGTGGGGTTAAAATTTTAATTCCTGAAAAACAGCCATAGCTGATGACACCAGCAGCCTTATGTGACACCAAGTTACACAACAGGATTTCAGCCTATATGTCACAAATACATGAAAAAGTCCAACTCCTGGCACAAAGTAATAACTATCCTCTCACCAAAGAGTGGAGACCTGACCTTAGCTCTACAACTGGGGCAAAAGCCTACAGTTGTTCTGTGCCAAGATGGCACAACTATGAAAATATAGTTGTGCTGATCTGGCAAAGTTCTGTAAGAGATGCTCACAGAAGGCAGTATTTAGTGCTAAAAAGGAAATATGGGATCTTCTGACAGAACAGCTTAGGATCATCCTTCAGCTGCAGAGGCACAAATTAAAACTTGGTCTGTTATAAATTAACAATTGGGTCTAAATCCAATTGCTAATCCCAACTAAAGCAGACCTATCAAAGCAACTGCTAAATGGTACATCAACATTCACATAAGTCATACTTACTCAATGGGTCTACTCTGCTTGGAAATATCAAATAGAGTTAGGACCTGAGATGCCAGATATATACTAATAGTCTGCTGGGTGTTTTTCTTTTCTTTCCAAAGCAGCAGCAAGATTATAAAAGCCAATCCACAAGTCAATACTGCACAGGCTTAACTATAAGGAGAGAGCAAGCAAGCGAGAGACTTTTTGGCTTTTTGTTCATAATTAATTTACAGAAACAAATCACTTTTAAATCTTTTCTTCTACTTCTTTCATCTCTTGTACTGTCAACCTCTCTGGCTATTTTGAGCATGGGATATGAATGGCGCTGTTGTGCTCCACCATTCTAACCTCTACTTAGTTTCTTCTGGAATAAATGAAGTGCGAACTACAGCAGCAAACAACAATCACTCCAGGAAGAATAGCCACAAGCCTCAGCAAACCTGCCTAACACACAAGTGCACTCTTGCCCAATCGAACAGAACTTGGCTAAAGGGCTGCTGCTACTACTGCACTTAAGATCTCAATATAGTACTTGCAAGGGAGTGAAAATATTAAGGCACAGAGAAAAGGAACACAAAAGTCAAACCCCCGAGATTCTCTTTTCTGAATTCTCTACAGAAGGAGTTAAAAACACAGAGAGCTATGGGAAAGAGACATATAGCTGCTAAGAACAGAATGAGCATTACTGACAGCGGATGAGGAAGAGGAATTGAGAGAGGTGTCAGGGAAGGCAGAGATCTAATGTTATTCCCGTTATTTGTGGACTGTGCTAATACAGGCACAGTTAACTACAACAGCAGCAGAGAAGTGCCAATATACTTTATTTTATTCTATTGTACTTTCCAACTTCGAATCATCAACACACCAAAATGTCTGCTGAAGCCAGTGCCTGGCTGGCTTTTCAGCTTGTGAAAGAAGCTTGTCATTTTTAAATACTAATGTTCTGTAAAGAGGCATGTGAATCTTAATAGCTTAATGGAAAACCAATATTCAATTCTGTAAAATCAGATGGGCAGTAAAGAATGTAACAGCGAGATAATAGAAGTACATCATATAGATATGTTTACGTCTCTTGGTTAAACACTTACAGACCCAGAAGGGAAAAAGAAAGTGGATTGTTAACCATCCCAGACAAAAGCTTATCCCACAGGCACTTGAAATTAACTATTAACAAAGATAAACTATTGACATCAGCAAAAAGAACTGGTACTCTGCAAATGGTGTGCTGGAATTTAAAACACAAGGAAGTACAAGAAGAGGAACAAAGTAAAGTCATTTTAACGTTAGTGTCTATAGAACACCCAAAACAGTAATGGAAAAGAATGAAAATTAATGACTACATAATTGTAGAAGTAAATGCTTGAACACATGACTTAATCAGTACTGGGGAGCTGTGCATGGTTCAAGCAGACCTTTACATATGAATTGAGTTAGCTGAACAGAAACCATGCCTGTAGGACAGAGGGAAAACATCCAGTGTGGTCCTCATCCATAATGAAGTGAAGGGATGGGAAGGCATTTTTATCCACCCACCTAGCTGGGCTGGGAATGTGCATACTTATGCAACATTTGTGGCAGTTTGTTGCATGAAATATTACTGGAGTGTATCCATTAGCTTCTAAGAGAGCTATCTCTTCTTCTACCGATTATGCAATTCTTTTCTTTTCTTTCTTTTTTTTCAGAGGGTGGGGGAGAAGTGCCTTGTATTCCTTTGAAATGTTGGGCAAGTAACCCAATACAACATTGACCCAAAACCTCACCAAGTAGAAAGAAGTTTCACATCTGTGCACTGTCTCAATCCAGAAGTTGTTTCCTTTCTTTTCTCTCAAACGTGCTGCCCCCATTCTAAAGCAGAATATTGGTATACTACTATGAAGCACATAATGCTCATAATTAGCAGACTGCACATGTGACTACCACACTACGGGTTATAACAAAAGGATTTCTGATTATGGTTGAAAACTTGGTCAAAGTTAATGTCGAGATGATAGATGAGGATAGGATTCAACCTAAATCTCAAAAAACTTTTCAGAAACAAGTGAATGGAAATGCATCTTAGTAGTGCAATGGAGAAAAGATATTTTTGCTACTGGTGATTACAGGCAGTCATATTCTAGACAACTTAGCAAATGGGTAGAGATAGTCTCTATTCACTGAGCTTCTTGTCTGCTACCTGCTACCATCATCTTCCCTCTTTCAAAAAAGGCAGAAAGCCTATCAAATATGCATATTCCATTCATCTTTGACCTTTTTCCTATTCTGTGCAAGTGGATCTAGTGTTCTATTACTCTTACCTATTTAATAACATATCCTGCTGTTAAACCTTTAGCAAAAGAGAGTTCACCCCACCCGCATTAACCACAATAGTCCAGGCTGATAGGCGGCAACAGGAAGTACCCATTCCTGACTTGAGCACCATTTTTTTTAAAGTGGAGAGGAAATATGACCTGTGTTTCTGGTTCAATAAATAAAGGGAAAGTTCCAGGCTGTGGTGTATGATATCACTACTTTAAAATTCATCATCTGAGCTCAGAAGCAGAGTCTTCTCATTGTCACGAGCACCAGAATTGCTATGGGATCGTGAGATGATATGGCCTCCATTACGCCAGGGTGGTCCATGTTCTAAGGTTGACTGCTGAGTATACTGTTGGTAGGCTGGGGAGAAATTGTGAATGGCATCTTGTACAATGTCATTGGGATTCATGGTCTCCTTAAGGCTGCTAGAGATGCTCTTCATGGGGGCACAGCGGCCTATAAAGGAAGGAAGCACATAAAGCATGAACGAGGGCAGAATCTTCTTCTTTCCCCAGGCATCCCATAAAATTGGGCAAAAACCTGCCTGCAGTAGTTTCTGTTCACAGCTGCAAGTTACCAATGGCCTAGCTCTTTACCATGAACCATCTCTGGCAATTAAACAGCTGGTTACATGAGATCAGAAAAGTGCCCCCCCCCCAAAAAAAAAACAGGATAGAAAATGCTCACAACCTTTCTGAGGCAGCATGGGGAGGAAATAACCAACTAGGTTGTAAGACCTAGGAAATGTTACAGAAAAGACTGGTATTAACTATATGGAGAGGCAATAAATTCAGGAGCAAAGAGATCTGGTACCAAATGACCTGAAGTGGCTTTCATCCAAGGCAGGGGTGAGAGAAAGATGGTGAAAAGAAAAGGACAAGTGTCCAAAGTGGACTTTCAGTGTGTGCACCAAGAGGATGTGAAGATGGAACCTGAGACCAAAGTGTAAGTGGTTATTCTCTATAGGGAAAAGGGGAAGTGGAACATAATGATTGGCTTCTTTTTTAATACTTTATATTTGAAATCACAGAGCTTTACTTTTGGAAAAATGAACAACATTGCGAGAAGGACAAAAAAGGGAGAAAAGAAGAAGAAAAGGAACACACATGTATGCCAACAACATAGCCAACACAGTGAATACAATCTCCAGAGGGCTAGGGCTATGTTAATTGGTTGCAACAGAAACAAGAAGTAGTCACATGACACCTCAAATCCAACACATTTTTCATTGAAGGCAGTAGGCAAAAAATCAGTATGTATACACAGTGGATATCCCCATATGCAGTTGAATGTTTCTTAAAAGTTTTCATCAAAGCAATTCCACTGCCGAAGAGACAAGTCCCTTCCTCTTGACCTTTTGCTAAACAGAGGCTAAAACCTCAATGATTTCTTCCACTGTGTGAACCCTGACAGCTCTGGCTTGATTGGTAGGGCATCCCTCCTCCATCCTGGGACCCATATACTCCAACACGGTTTAATAAACTTGGGAGAGGGTTAACAACAACTGGTTTTGTACAAAGTCTCTGTTCTGTAGTCCTAGTTCCTGGCACTGCCCTCCAGTTCCACTCAATGAGAAGGAAGATGTCTGTCCAGGGAGTTCAGTTCTTGACACTGGTCTCCTTAGCAAGGAAGTATGTGAGACCCCTGGCCCAGGTTACCCCCGTGTTTGGGCAACCCCTAACAAGGAGGGTCAGTACACCTACAATGTGGGCAAGTGTGGGAAGAACTTTCTTTTGATGGACTGCATCTGTCTTGGTTCCCCAAATACTTCTGGTATTGGTGCTCGGTCTGTCTCCTTCTGTGCCAGCGTTGGCTATGTGTGGAGGTCAGCTCTCTCATCTTCTGCCCTCCTTTCATTCTCTCCTCTGTAAGATGGGTGGTGGGGGAGCTTGGGATTTCTGTACTTTTCTCAATTCCCTTTTGGTACCCTCAGCTGTACCAGAACCCCTTTCCAGGGATCTGCTTTGTAAATGTAGTCCCACTCCCCTGGCAGTCCTGGTTCTTCTTCTGGGGAGAATTCTGCCCACTAGGTCCCAGACCAATATTCCCAGGCAGCTTCCCCGTCACCTTCCTTCGGATCTCCCTCCCCAGGCTCTCCAAGGGTACCTTCTGTCTCTACTCCAGGTTCTGTCTCCAGGGTTTTTTCCCCTTGTAAATGCCACCAGGGACTTTTTTCCTTATTCGCAGCTTCCTCACCATTCTCTGGAACTGTTTGGTAACTTGCCTCCTCTCTTCTTAAGAATCTCCTCTTGTTCTTCTTCCCTTGGCAGCAGGGCAGCCTTTCTATCTATCATGTGCCAGGGATAGCCCAACTTTTCTCTCTTTCTTAAGGGGCACCCTCCAATCCCCAAGGTTGACAGGACAATACAGGCTTCTATTTTGCTCCCACTTTCAGAGGAATAGCATATGTTGGCCCCTCCTTCTTCACTGTCCCTCCTTCATTGTCCCGCATGAGGCGCCTTGTGCTAGGCTCAGCAGGAGTCTGGTGAGGTGCATGGCCCCTGGGTTAGAGCGTGACAGCTCGCTGACGGGGGTATCCATGTCTCTGTCTTCCTCACACATTGGATTCATGATTCCCCTGAAGAAGAGCTATACACACGTTACACATAATGATGCATGCACAGAACATATAATGCAAGGAGGCAGAAAGAGTAATAGCAGAAAATTCTGCCTTAACATGAGAAACAAATGCAGTGAGAGCATAGCACCTACCATATGGCCCATATGATGGAACAGCTGCGCCAGACACCAGAGCCCAAAGCAAGGAAGAGAAGAGAGAGGAGGAAAAAATAAGAGAGGAAGATACAGGAAACAGCACTCAGACCCTCAACCAGGACATTATTGCAATGCTCAGTTATCTAGTAAGTTTAGTATATTAATTACACATTAAATAAAAGATTTTAGAGAACAAAACAACAAAACCTGCAGATGAATGTTGACCACCATATTCAAGATATTGACCTGCACCCCAATTTTTAGTACTGTAATAAGAAAAGGAAATGCAAAAATGCTCATCTGTCCTCCCATTATTATTAAATGCACTGCTCCAGAGGCATATTCTTACAAGCGCATGTGGCTTCCTTTGCCCTCAACAGCTTCATAGGAACACTCTCACGCACTCTTCTAACACCAAGCCTTCTGCTCCAAAGCCATTCCCCTTTACACAGGTCCACCATAAAACAGAGAGATGACTTCTATACCTCCTGTGCCATCTCTATAACCCATGTATAAGCATTGAATGAATGCTCTGATGTGACTCCCAAGAGAGCCATAAACCTACAATAGCTCCAACATGTAAAGCTGTATCCTGGGGAAAGGGAAACCAGATCAGACACTAATTTGTGTGAAAGAAGGAAAGCCAGTGTTTGGCTGCCCACATGGGGAGCTGAGATGCTCGGTAAATAGATCTGTCATAATGCCCCCTCCTTCTCACCACAAACTCAGAACTAGCTCCATACCTTGTGCATCTAGACGCTTGTCTGCATAGACCTTGTATGTGAATGCATGACGTAGGGCAATGGACGCGAAGAACATTTCCACACAGATAATGAAATCCTGGTAGCCAGCTGCCACTGTCCCCTCGCCTACAGATACACTGGCTGAGTCAATCTTAGGGATTGCACCGCACTTCTCCAGAATGGCTAATAGCATCCCTAGAAATAAATCATATTTTAAGAAATTAGGAGACCCCAATGCATTCTGCAACTTCCATTTATTCCTTTATTTTCTTCATTAATTGAGTCTGCTCTAAAACAGGAACACAGTATCAGTAAGTTTTTAGTACTAATTGCTTTTTTCTTTTCAAAAGGTAGTATTTTCCATCTTAAAAAATGTTTTCATTTTCAACTTTCCCCTACATATTTTTGAAGTTTTTCTTACTAATATTTCACTATTTTATTCTACATTGGTATACTTTAATTCCATTAAAGTCTGCAATCAACCTATCTCTCAAAGTCTACACCATTAAAATTTATAAACCTTGCCAAGCCATCAAAATCAATCATCATCATCTTCTTCTTCATCATCATCATCATATGAGAACTGTGATTATGTCAATATTTTCTGCCCAAGCATTTCTGCTTTCCACATATGGTTTTAGACTGTCCTTTTCTCTTCCAAATCAGTTATTTCACTTATTCTTTCACAAATGTTCAAAAAAGGATAGCTCTGAATGGTCTCTACTTCCCTTTTGAATCAGAAATCCCAGAACTCTCTTTAATAGAGCTTGGAAAAGTTATTTTCATTCACAACCTCCACTATATCTTGGCCAGAATTAAGGAAAAAGTGAAATATCAATAGAAGAACCAAAAATGGAAAGGAAGACGAGTGGAAGAATAAAAATATGCTCGCAATCGGCTTGACACTGGCTGAAATTCTGTTGTGCTGCTACCCAGAAGATGTGATTATGGGAGATAATTTGCCTCAAGTTAAGACACTTCTGTAGACATCTATAATGTCTATAGAGATTTCATACCTTGAGGGTAATATGCCACTGAAAGTTATTCAGCAAGATTTCAGTCATTGGTATTTAGGTTAACCACTGATTGATTCTTCACTGGTCACTAGTCTAACTGCAATCATATGGAGTACATAAAGAAACCTCTGGTACCCAGTATGGTGCATTGGGGAGAGTGACAGACTAAGACCCAGGAGGCTCAGGTTCAAATCCCCACTCAGGCGTGGATACTCAAAGGGCGTATGGAACTGGTAAAACCATTCCTTAAATATCTCATCTACCTTGGAAGGCCTATTAAGGTCACTATAAGTTGGTTCCAACTTGATTGCACATAACCTAAATGAAAAAACCTCATGTTCTTATAGCACAAACTGTGAAGAAAACAAAGCTTGTTTGTTATTCTTTTACAAATGTTACAGGATTTAATATGTGTTACCTTAATCAAAAGAAACAATTAGTGTTACTGAAATCTCACCAAATGAATTTCTTTATTAGAGCACAGAAAGCATATTATAAAGAGTATTATAACATAAATATTGAAGAAAGTAAGAAAAAGAAACAAAGCAAGAAGATGAGCTTTAGCCTGGGAAAGGAGTTAAGAAACCAAGAAGATAAATGTCTGCATGGCTATGTGACAAGCTTCATCAGATTTTAACAGTCTAACAGGCCTTCCTAGTTTTATCTACTTGTGGATTCCAAGTATGTGTGCTGATGCCTCACCTTGCCAGAAGGACAGGAAAATGACAGACTTGACCATGAAGAATTTCAGGACTGGACTGTAGGGACTGAGCAGTTCACGTGTAGCAAAGTAGAACAGGAAGAGGGCATAAAGAGCCAAACTGACAGATATATTGTAAATGATTGTCACATAGAGATACCCACTCGTGACACTGCAAGGAAAGAAAACATGAATGCACAGATTCTTAGATATATATGGTGCCTCATTTCTCAGGCAGCATTGGAAAGACCTCTCCCTCATCAAACATTCCTGCCTACTTCATCACTGAACAATACTCTAATGTCAAGATATAAATAGATGATATATTATTGCAGCTCAAGCTCTCCCACTACCTAAAGGAGAAGGAAAAGCACTACCACTGCCCCTGCTAGTTGCCGCCCCCACTCACCCTTTGCAGCAGCACTAGTCTGCAGATGAGATATGGTGCCTTAATCCTCTAGATATATACATGTATGTATGCATATATGAATATGTATGAATTGGGGGTATTAGGGTTATGCTCCTAACAATTATTTATGGAATTTGTTTCCCTAAGAGTTTGCCGCCCATGATGTATATTATAGTTGTATTGATTCTGTTTATTCTTATGCAGTTGTTCTGTTATTCACATCTGATCTGTTGATCGTATAAATAAAATTAATTATCCTTTGTGTCAATATAGAGCTGGTGCTGCTCTATGCAGAGCCAGAGAAGCCCAAATGCCTAGGTCAGGGAGAGGGAGTCTGGAACACTGTGTGCCAGTTCTTTTTGAGTAGCAATGCTATCTGGAGTGGGGGGCATTTTACTACCCTATTGGTCTGCCAACTAACATGGGCATCTCACTCCACAAGCAGTGGTTCCGCACCTTAGATAACCCAGGTGTTTTTGGACTGCATTTCCCAGAAACCCTGGCCAGCATAGCTGGTGGTGAAGGCTTCTGGGAATTGCAGTCCAAGAACACCTAGATTACCCAAGTTTGGGAACCACTGACCTAAGTGATGAGCCAGGTATCTCATTCCTCTCAATTCCCTAAAACTGATATCAATTGCAATTTCCAATAGGACAGCATGTTTGACACTAAGATTTCAAACTGTGCTGTCACCCAGGCTATAACCAAATGTTGCAGTATTTTTGTACAGTATATGTGTAGCTCAGGTAGTAGAGGACATACAACATTACTTACTGCATTGCTCTTTATATTCTGAATATAGAACAAAGTTTATATCTAATTTGCTACAGGATATACCAGATAAAAGAGATCAAAATAAAGTTAGCTATCTGTTGTCTGAGTTAACAAAACAGTAACAGAGTAGCAAGATTTACAGAAGCTGCCCAAGAGTTGAAGAAAAATTATGTAAAGACCCATATGGTTAACTGAAATTACTTAATTTTTTAACTATATGTGCATTATAATTTGTTTGTACTTTGTTTTAAATCCAATATTTTGTGAATATATTTGTATTTGTACTTTTAAATTTGTTAGAATAATGTTGCTAAGCTAACACTCCACAGGTGTACCTATTTCTATTTGCATTTTTGTTTTAATTGTAATAGTTGGTCATTGAATGACCAAAGTGGTTAGATCAACAATAAAGTAAGTAGGGTCTCTTCAAATTGGGAGAGGCAGTGATGCACCACCTGCCTCCAGGCTGAATGCTCAGATGTCAGGGTTTCCCATCTGTTGAGATCCATTTCCCAGGCCTTCAGATCCCGCTTGCAGATATCCTTGTATCGCAGCTGTGGTCTCCCTCTGGGGCGATGTCCCTGCACTAATTCTCCATACAGGAGATCCTTTAGAATCTGACCATCAGCCATTCTTACAACATGCCAAAGAGGCAGTCACGAAAGCAGCAAAATCAGGGAGCTAGACGGGGTACAGATTGTATTTGTCCTCAGTGTGGAAGGGATTGTCACTCTCAAATTGGCCTTCTCAGCCACATTAGATGCTGTTCCAAGTCCTTCGTGCAAAGCACGATAGCATAGTCTCTTGAGACTGAAGGATGCCTATTCCTATTCCTAAAGTAAAATAGGTACATTTTCAGTATGGAAGGCCTATCCTCATCTGAAATAAGATACCTACATGGAAAATCTGTGCATGATTGTACCAGATCTGCAGGACTCAATATGTCCATGTTATATTAGAACAATTCCAGTGGCTACAAATAACTTAGTGGTATATCAATAATTTGTTCTGAGGAGCTCAGTCAACAGCAACTTGCTTAAAGTTGCCTCATGAACTTTGTTCAGACGTTCTTAGACCTTAATCTTCAGGCACCAACACTAACATTATCCATTCTACTGCACCTTCCTGTAGTTTATTACCTTATTTCATTCTCCCACTTCTTAGACAAGCTGAGCCTCCCCAGTTTAATAAATAGTGTGGTGGTGTTGTTTTTCAAAAGACCCCTTTCTTCAAGTAGAATCACTTCACCAAATTATTTATTAAATTACTTACTCAAAGTCCCCATCCTGGTACTTGCCAAATGCTTGAAGGATAACTGTAATAATTGCCATGAGGGGCTTAACCACACAAAACTGCAGAGTGGCCTGAAAGACAGGAATAAGAGAAAGGCAGACCAAATGAACATGGGAAAAGAAGAAATGACCACATATATTTAAGCTTTGATTAATCAGTCATGAATGTCTACCTTAAAGAACACCTTCAGCATAAAAGATATGGAACTATAATAAGTATTTATGTTCATGCACATTAACTCCTGGTTCATTATGTAATTAGTTGCTTTTAAAGTACAGTTTAAACACCATCTTTTCTCTATTGGTGAATAAATGGCTCCATAAGTGCCAGCTCTTATTTGGTACTTAACATAATATTCTATTGTGAAACTCTGGAGAGGCAAGAAAGAATGACACAGTTCTTTAAAGGTTGTATACTGTTGACAAAGTATGCTTCCAGTTTAAAGAGTTCTTGACAGAACGAATACATCAGTTTTCCACAATATAGAGTCTGCAGCCAAGGTTACATGTACACGCACATAAATATTCGTCATGCTTCACAGACACAGTTGTCTAATATTAGTATCTGTGTACACAATTCATTAATCATCAGGGGATACACAGACTATTGTAATATTTTTTATTCACAAGAAAGAAAGAGGATGTGACATTCTTACATAACATGACATGCCTGCTCTACTCATTGTCAAATGCACTGGGCTAATGTTTGGCAAGACAATGTAAAGTTTTTATGAGTTATCCTTCCTACAATAACTGTTCATTAGCCTCTCTCAATTTAGAGTGTTCTTTATTTTGCTTTTTCCTGGGTTTCTTTTTTTCCCCTCCCGTCCCCTTTTTCTGTTTTATTTTACTTGTTGCTCACAGTGAATATGTGTCCCTGGCAAGGGATTCTCTCCTTTCACTGTTCAATATAAAGAAACGTTCTGCTAATTTTGCTCAGAAAGAAGAAGCAACCATCTTAAGTAAGATAATTTACTTTAAACCAAATCCCCCCTTGCAAATTAGCTTGCCTTAAATTAAAAATGGCTACAGTAAACTACACACACTTAAGCATCACACTTTTCTGTCTACTCTGCTAGGAAAAACAGGTGTTTCTATCTCCAAAGATAATGTACTTCATCACGTCAGCTAGCTGTATGTTGCCTCACAGATGTCCAGTTTAACAACTACATGCCTTTTGAATTCCTATTAACTATAACTTGTTTTCTCAATCCAGAATGAAAGGATGTCATGTTGTGCTGTATTGTTTTAAAATGAGACATTCTGGAGGTTCTATCTGGGGCTGTATATTTTAACACTTTCTTCACAAGGAAGTGTCTAAAAATAAATGTTTGTGGGATTGAACTGTTTGAATATATATACAGGACTAGGTCGATACTTGATCCTATACAGTACTCTTTGTATATAATGGCAAACTAATGGCCTATGGAAAGCCTATAAGTAGGATCATAAAACTAATATGAAAGATAAAACATATGAAAGAAAAGCAGTTTTTGCCAACTTAAAAGGACAGATTTCAGGAAACAAGAATAGTGGCCTGAGAGGACTAAGAAATATTTTTGATATATGATCCTGTTCTTAAACAGGGGAGAGGGATGAATCAACTGTTAGATCTTTTTACAATTTTAAGTCTGGACTTCCCTCTCAGGAAACAAAATGTCAGCTAAGATTCATTTGCTTTCTTAGATAGACTATGGACTAGACAACACCTCCAAATGGGTGAAACAAAAGGGTTAAACTGAAAAAAAAACCCTCTGGAATTTCAGCATGGACCTTCTCCTTTGCACACTCACAGCAGAAGCTGTCTTTACTGTCATATGAAAGAGAAAGGCAAAGGAAAGGAAAAGATTGCTTGTGACAAGATGGGCTTGGAAGGTGATCATGAGATTTCAAGGAGATTAAGAATCCCAGCACAAACTAGTCAGTGAGTCATTGCCATGTCGTGAACAGGAAAAGGTCAAGCTAATTGTTAAGCTCTGCTTCTGAGCTTCCTCTTCTTCATTCTGGGGATTGTTCAATCATTTTCGAACAGTTCAATCCCACAAACATTTATTTTTAGACACTTCCTTGTGGAGAAAGTGTTATATACAAGAAAAATTAAGTGTGTTAAAGCATACAAGAAGAGTTAAAAGACAGTTACATTGTCTTAGGCAGAGATCTACAAAAGTATAGATATAAAGAAGTCTAATAGAGATGACTCTCTTCAGATTCTCATCTCCCACTTTTTGGCTCATTTGCGCCATGAAAAGCAGAATAACCCTATTCTACATAGGACATTTTCAGAAATCAGGGAAGATGTCTACTTAATGGTCAGAGTAATGAAAGTCAGGATCTGAGTTTATTTCTGAGCAAAAGGGGGAATTTCAAAGAGTGGAAGTTATCAGGTTTTTAAAAACAAACTACAAATTCAAAACAGAGCCTTGAAGTATCCCTGCAAGAATTAATTGCTTTCCACCTAGGTTTGTCTTTGGAAGAAATAATATAAATAATAAGTAAATAAATATAAATAATAAAATGAAATAAATGTATTTTGGTGCATGCAGCTCATCCAGGTCCCAATTTTCTAGGTAGTATCACGGTCCCCTGACAAGGAAGGAAACAGATAACATATACGATGTTACATTTCTTGAAATAACTGTTTTATATAACTGTAACACCGCCATTTCCAGCTCTGCAGTTCTAAGAGGATGATGATTTCAAGAAGGAGGCTAAAGGAAGTACTTTTTCCACACAGGACATGGTTAGACTGTGGAATTCACTGTCACAGAATGAAGAAACAGGTTCCAACATTAATTAGGGGATTAGATAAATTTGTGGAAGCTACAGTTTGTATAGAAGTTGATACTGAACACAATACCAAGGGTATACTGTAGTTGCACGCATGTTCTGCAGTCAACTGTGTGAACGGAATGCTGAACTAGAATTAAGTTTCACCAAGTACAATGTTCTCTTCTTCCCACCCATTTATCCAGAACTAGCCAAAGCATTTATTCACTACAATTAAAATGGAAGAGATTCTCTTAGTGTAGATTTGTGGCTTATGCCTACTTACTTCCTCTGCAAATCTTATACTCAAGGTCCCATATGATGAACACAAGACATTTAATCATATATCAGGAGTTACAACTAATGACCATCATGAGGTACAAAACATCCAGTCTAAAGAACTGAGTCAGAAATGTGCACGTCTTTATCTAAATGTGTTTTTAAAAGAACTCATTGCCTCACACCACACATTAAAAATAACCCAGTTGTGTCACAACCTCACCCACACCCACACTTTCCAACCATTACGTCTCATAACATTGCTTCATCCTTAAGCCACAGTTGAACTTAGGGCCACATAACCTCTTTTGTCACAGTCACCTTGAATTGAAAGGAACAGTCACTACCTTTTCTAATTGGTTCACTATGTATAAATATGTTCAACTGCTCCTTTCCACTAGTTCCTGTCTGTACGTTTTCATTTGTGTTGCAGCAATACAATTGCACATCAGCTTTCATTCACCATCTCGATTATCAACAAACCTTTTACTAAAGTTTATAAATATTTGCACAGAAATTTAATCTTGACAAGGCACCTAAATGACATTATGCTACTTATGTGATCTACAATAAAGTCTTTGTGTGCAAACAGTCAAAAACAGTTTTTTAAAAATGGAATAATGGGGGAATCAACACATGATCATCATGTGCTGATGGCTGTAAGGCAGGATGATAAAAAGTTTCAGTAAAATGTTCAAAGTGCAGCATTTAAAAGGAGGAGCACAATACAAGCATAATGGTGATCAGATCAACTGAACTGTTGAGTCAACTGTTAACTCACATACAAGGAAATAAAATATTGTTTCCAGGTTTTTCCTGGAATCAGACATTCTAGACTTGCTATAAAATCTATTTCTCTCCTTGAGACCATTTTCCATTCTTCCTTCTGGACTTCTCTTTTTCAACGTGAACAGAGCTTTATACCTTCTTTTTTCACTACATAGATAATACTGTTTAAAGGGAGACTTCTAATCACAACAAATAGAAATAAAAGAGAAGCCAAGACAAATCATGGAAATAGATGCACTTCAAAGTAACCAAGGTAAATGAGGCAATATTTCATGAGAAGTGTTACTGTATGGGAACGTACCCTAAATCCTTTCTACATCTCCAGTTATACTATGGCACAATCAATAACATTCAAAATACTGAAGCTTTATTTATGATCATTTATGTAAGAATTTTGGGTTCTAATCCTCTTGTCGTTCCTCAATTCTCACCATATACCTCTGCGAAGTGAAATAGCAGCTTTTTCTTGTATTACAAAATAAAGCCTCAGATGAATAGTGGAGTGGCCAATTATGTAAGAAGACCAAGTGAGATTTCCATTTATAGCTTTGTGTTTTATAAGTCACACCTCAATTCCTCAAGGCTACACAGTTACGTGTAACTAGATCCTGGTGTCCTCTTCTCTAATTTCTCAATTTCAAAACTGTGGCAAAACTATTATGCTCAAGACAAATCTTTGTCAGCTATATGCTTCTGTGAATCTTGAGATTTCCAGGTGAAATATCAGAATAGGATGAAGAAATATTTTTCTCCTGGAAATAGACATTTGCATTAATCAACACTCACACATGCACTTTCATTCTACAGCACACTTTTTAAAAGTCTCAATACATCCTACTTCCTTCCACCCCATGAGGAAAAACGGCACTAGGACAGCATCTAGATTTCCAAACAAGTTCTGTCAAACCATACCTGCTTGCAGAATCTAAGAAATCCAATGGAGTATGTCTTTCCCCACAGGCAACATGTTCCATATATACAGCTGGACCTAAGAACGACAGCAGGATATCTGATCACCAAATCTTCAGAACCTGATGTTACACTCATGTTTCAAATGGCAGCGTTCAAATGTCTGCAATATCAGGCAGCTGTTTAATTGTTTCCTATGTTGACAGTTATAATATGTATATTATTATATAAAAGAAAAAATAGAAAGGAGTAATCTTTCAGAGCAGGACAGTAATATCCTTTTTAACTGTTAAAAACAGTAAAGTTATCCATCTAAAGTGCAAATAAACAGAAAAGAATAAAATTTGGACTCATTTCAAAATTATATTATAGATTCCGTGTTATATAATATATAAATTATATTACAATGGTGCCTCGCAAGACGAATGCCTCGCGGGACGAAAAACCCGCAAGACATTTGTTTTTTGCGATCGCTATGGTGCCTCGCAAGATGGCTTCTTCTATGGCTGTGCTTCGCAAGATGTTTTTTCCCCCCGAGACCGATGCCTTGCAAGACAAAAAAATTTCATTGCAATGCATTCCTATGGGAAACCGCTTTTTGCAAGACGATTTTTTTGCAAGACAGCGCTTCTCGCGGAACGAATTACATTCGTCTTGCGAGGCACCACTGTATAATCAATATAATTCATATATATATGTATATATGAAGACCATAGACACACACACTCCATATTTTTTCATTTAAGACACCCCTGTTTATAAGACTCCACACACACACTTTTCTAACCCAAAATTAAGAAAACTTAGCTTTGAGTATTCAGCCTCTGGGCTCTGAACACTCGGACATTACGAGTCCCTGTTGAATCTGAGCATACAGGCTCCACCTCCAAGTAAGTGTGTTCTAATTGGTTTGTTCAGCATCAGCTGACATCAGTTCCATAAAGCTCATGATTGGAGGAAGCTAAGTCTCCTGACTGTAGGAAGCTAAGCCTCGTGATTGAAGGAAGCCTGTTTACAAAGGCAAAGTATGGGCAGTTTTGTTCTCTCCTCAACTTACTTCTGTGTATAAGACGCCCCTCAATTTTTTGTGTAATGATTTTAGGAAAAAGTAGTGTATTATACATGGAAAAAAAGTAGTGTCTTATACATGGAAAAATATGGTGTATATATATATTAAGACCACTGGTGCTTTATTTGAAATGAGGGCAAAAATGCCTTAAAACTAAGGGCAGGAGAAGACTATAACACTATAGATATTGTGCCTAAAAGGAAGTACTAGAGAGAAGAACTAAACGCTTGGAAGTTCATTCATTATGTGACCAAATGGCTTCTATCAATTTGCTACAGCTATCAGTAATTTGTGGCAGTGGTTCCCAAATGTTTAGCATCATAGGTCATTTTTATTTTTAAGAAATCCTCACATTTTCCCCAACTCTACTTTCCCACTGTCTAACCTCCTTGTAAGAGAACTGAATTTGTAATTTAAATAAGACATAAGCATCTGAATTTTTAAAAAACTAATTTTCTGGTATAAACATTGAGAATGAAAGAATTGCTGAGCCTGATAAAACATTTGCTCATGAAAATCTCAAAGTATCACCCCTTGGAATTTCTTCACATACCTTTAGGGGGCATCCACTCCCCAGTCTGGGAGCCAATGAACTAGGTAAAGGAGTCTTGTTCAAGCTTAGGACCAAGCTGTTTCAGACTGTTTGCGATGGCAGAGGTAGAACAAGTTTTGGGATATATGTTCCTCACTACTCCCTTCCACCAAGAGGGAAAAGAAGATATACATGTATTCAGAGAAACAGAAAATACTTACTCAATAGGCTTCCCTCTGATCTCAGACATGATAGAGCTCTCTCCTCCGAGGTACTCATAACAAAGGCTAAGAAAGTTGTAGATGACAAAAGCTGCAAAAACAATTACATCAGCAAAAATCACTCAATATAAGAGAAGTACCTGAAAGGAAGCTGACTGTTAAAACACACATAAAAGTTAGACAGGGAACTACAAAATTGGGGAAAGATATCCAACTCTTATCAATTCTGCAAATCTATCACACTGTGCAGGATATGGCTGTCAGTCAAAGAAGATTAATTAATCATATGACAGGATTTTAATTCATGCACATGAATGAGATAGCCATTGTAAAATAAATATACTCTCATTTTCAGATGGTATATAAATGTGTCACCTCCTCAGAGGCAGCCTTCTATCCAGTGTCAGATGAAGGATTCTTTTTCTAAAATGATGCCTGCTACCTATAATTTTGCATGAACACTATTTCACTTTTCAAACCTATTTGCTTACTAATTGGGGGACATCCTTGAAATATCTCAAAACATTTTTAATTAATTTTGAGCAGGGATTAACAATGCATGGCTCCCAAGATACTGTTGGATTCCCAGTTCCCATCAGCCACAGCCAATCTAGCCAACAGAGAGGAATTATGGCATTTGTACTCCAATAAAATCTGGTGGGCCACAGATTTCCTACTCTTGATTTAGAAGTCAGATGAGTGGTGCAAGGACACAATGAAACAATTATTGGCAACTACAGCATCTGCATAATGGCAGATGACTTACAAGGTAGAATTGTGTCCTTGATGTTCTTGGTCTGAGCAGTAAGAGGGCAAAACAGTAAAGTAGGCATTGGAGTGGAGATGGAAGCAAAAAGCACTTACAGCCTTTTCCAATGAACAGAAACAAGCCCTTCCATCTATACTTAGTAATGTTAGAAAATATAATAGGGTATCTACTATTAACAATAAACAGAAGTACATCATATAGTCACTCCAGGTAGGCTACCTTGGTCATACAAGCCAGATTCTTTAGACTGTGACCACCATATTATGTCAAGTTCAGGATTAGAGATGGAATGTTTAAATATAATCTCCCGGGGGAGACAAATATGAATAGCACCACCACAGGTGGCCGGGCCCTTTGGTGCTCCCCCCAGAACCAGATGGTCCACTCACCAGGCTTCATGTGGCATGCACAGCCATCATCATCTCACCTCCTCACCAGAGTGTTCAACAATGAAGGGAGGCGAAGAAGCGCCATCCTGGCTACTTCCACGATTGGCATGATGTTGCTGACAACAGCTGCATGTGCCATGTGAAGCCCAGTGAGTAGACCAGGCTGGTTCTGGGGGAAGGCAATGGAATTTGTGAATGATATTGAGCAATAGAGAGTATCTTGTAGACCATCTTGACCAACTGCTGCCATTGGTGGCACACTTTGTATTCATATCCCGCAGGATACAAATACGAAGCTCCCATATCTATACAGAACATATTCTTTCTGACTTCTACTTCAGCTGGAAGTTAAGTATTAAGCAAAAGATGTCTAATATCAAGCTCAGAATTCACAAAGTACATTCTCAAATCTGCTTCTGGAGCCTAACAAGCAAAAGTGTTTCATGTAATTATTCAGTAAATATTCTGTGGTCATAGGAAAGCATAACTTGTTCTAATTTCTTTTTCAATGCATTTTAAATGCTGTTTCTAGAATCACACAGTGCTCCCTAGTGTCATTCTGGGACATTGATGGTATAGAAATTAGGGAAGTGTCATTAAGAAGTCAACTGCACCACTTCCTCAAGCATGCTCTATTCACTTTAAGTGCCTCTTCTTTAAAACCTGAACAGCCACTGTACTGATAAACTTGGCCAGCAAAATGACAAATACACATTTTCTACTACAAGCCAGTGGGTTGTAGTCCCTAAAATCACATTTTTAAAAAGAGGTGGAAGTTTTGTTTGTGTGCTGGTGCCGAGTCTCTTAACTGAACTTCTGTGGCACCAGTGCAAAAATTACTATAAACAGGTGCCTGAATGGTGCTTGTACAGCCTGAGGAATATGTGACTAAGCTAGTGTGAAAATCTGTGGAAAGGACAGTGCCTCCATGGGTCAGAATGTTGCAACTAGTGTCAAACTTACTGTTGCCTAAGGTGTCGAAAAAAATTTTTGGCCAGCCTATCATGCCATACCTAGGTTGTAAAATGAAAACCCGTAAGATGCAGTGACCAGAATGCCAAACTAGGACTGGATAGACTCAATTCAAATCCCTGCTTAGCCATGAAGATCACTAGATAACCTTGGGTCAACTGACAAATTTAAATGTAGCCTATTTTACTGTATATGCTTGCTGAAAGGACAAAATAGAATGGTGGAGAATCACACCGGCTATCACCTTAGAATTAAGTTGGAATATGAACCTTAACCCTAATAAATATTTTTTAAGTTTAAAAAAAAACAAAGCATAATCTTCCAAAAACACAGATGCTCTTAAACTATATTCAGTGCTGCACTACAGTACTTTAGTCTGATAAAGCTTCCAAGAAATACTAATTCATAACTAGCAGTGATGTAGCTTCTTCTCTGTAGCTCTTATCATAAAATTCCTTATGCCTATTAATACATATTTATAGTGAGAAAGCCTTTGTCCAGCCTAGAAATTTCAGGTGCCCAGCAGATAAGTGTTCTTTTGGAAGAGAAAACAATAAAGTACAATGCTCTTCAGAAGACTTCTTGCCTACTGCTTTTGATACAGGAAAGCTTAATTACAGCAGGAACTGCCTATTCAGAAACCTTCTTAATTTCTGTGAAATTAAGGGGATCCTTCCAACTTCGCTTATGCTTCTCAATATAATTGTATGCACTTTTACGTGGGAATAGGTCCCATTTAACACGCCACAGAATATATCTCCAAGAAAATGTGTGCAAGATTCTGTTGAAACCTCTGGCAACAATACCGCCAACATTTCTCATTTCATCTGACATTCAAAATACTAAATGTGATTCTTCAAAGTAAATAAATGAAATTCTAGTGCCAGGCTGTCAAAAGATTCCACTTCAGATATATGCCACATCACCACTGATACAAAAATAAATCTAAGGCTACTGGATATCTTTCCCATGGGAAAAGTCTCAACTGAAATGAAGTCAGATTCCCACCCTCTCTTGCTTCTTTCTTTCCCTACAGGCAGTTTTGAAACTGTTTTGAGTACAGAGAACACATAAGGGGAGTAAGGGGGAATCCCAAGATCAATCAGTACACACACACATCATGCTGGAGAAGCTAGCAAACTTCAGAACAGTGGGCTGAACCTCCAAGCAGATGTTGTGATGTTTGCAAGCTCCCTAAAGGCCAAGAGGACAATAGTTGTTGCTAAGAGATGTGTTTCACAGAGAGCAAGCTTCCTGCTACGCCTTTGTTTACACAGAGGAAGGCACAGGAATGGGAAAACCAGGCCAAACAAAGATGGCCTATGACTTGTGTGTGCCCATATCTGCCATCTGTTATCATATCCCAGTAAGCTGTCAGAGTCGCAAAGGGCTCCACTGATCCCTGAACCGGATTAAGTTGCTAATGTGCCCCAGGTCACTCTAAATAGCAAGTACTGCACCATCATCATACTAGATGTGGCTTAGTGCAAGATGCAGCAATGGACATCAGCAGAAAGTTGAGACTCACTTAGTAGAGTCTGTTCCAAGAAAAAAAGAAGACATCCAAACCTATATGTTTTAAAAGACAGCAGATACTGTATACCCTGTTTCCCCGAAAATAGGACAGGGTCATATATTAATTTTTGCTCTAAGAAACACATTAGGGCTTATTTTCAGGGGATTTTTTTCCATGTACAACAATCTACATTTATTCAAACAGTCATGTCATCTTCTTATGGTTGCTGCACAATGGCAGAGGGTGGGGTTTCACTTAAATGGGGCTTATTTTTGAGGTAGGGCTCATATTACAAGCATCCTGAAAAATCATACTAGGGCTTATTTTCAGGTTAGGTCTTATTTTAGGGGAAACAGGGTAGTAAATTTTTCTTCATCTGAATCAATATGTTTGAGGGAGGGAGAAGGAAGGAAGGAAGGAAGGAAGGAAGGAAGGAAGGAAGGAAGGAAAATATTCTTCACTGCTTTAAAACAGGAATAATGTGCTGCGTTTCTTTTTGTAGCTGCAGATAAATTAGTTCTGCAAAAAAATGCATATGAACGAGTTAAGTTCTCTATGTCTCAAACAACAATGGTTAAGGCAAGGGTGGAAAAACTTTAGCCCTCCAAATATTTGCTCATGCAGGTCCCATCTGCAGTAGTATGGTCAGGGATAAGACATTGTGGGAGTTGTGGCCTAAAACATCTAGAAAGGCAAACGTTCCAAACTGCTGCATAAGAAAGAAAAAGTATTTTTAATGTCTAGTCCTGGAAATTTGCTTATGAAGTAATTCAAATATGTTTCCCTGAACAACTTTAGGAGTTGTATGTGAAAACAGCAAAATTAGCATAGCTTTTAATATTTATTTTATGTTTATGTATTGAAGCAATATGCATTCAAGGTAGCCTGAGAAGCTGAATATTTAATAATAATGTTATAATAATCTGATGGTTATACAACTTTATAATAACTTGATGAATTACAGATACCAGAGGAATGCATAATTTTTCCCCACATGCTTCTCAGATGACATACTGCCAGTTGCTGCTCAACTACAATTCCTTTCCAACTGACCTCATTCCTTGACTGCAAAATCTCCAATATCTGACCTGTCATCCCAAGTTCATATACACATTTGTTCTTACTGATTTGATAACAGTATACTGACAGAATTTAGTCATACATTATTCTCGGATGGAAAATTATTGGTATAATCTCATGAGTGAGTCACCAGAATCAAAGAAGACTTGCTTACTCTCTGTGCCTCATCTTGATTCCTTGCCTTTGTGTTTTGCATTCTTTCTATGCTGATGCCTCATCTTTCAGTACTATGGATGGAAATATCTACAGATTCTAACAAAATGTTGTTTGACTCCCACCAAGAGCTTGAATATAACCAGCTACATATAGCTAATCTACATTCCTTGGTTACTGAAATAAAGAATCTATATGTAGCTCTTTATTCCAATAACCAAGGAATGCAATTTAACAAATTGTAATTTCATTCCCTTTATGGTGAAACTTTTAATTTATAGTTACAGGGAACAGTCTCATAAAACATTGGAGGAGAAATATCACATGACCTACACTCAGTACTACTTAAAGCTGATGCCTTGTGCTTTGTTGTGGGTGTTGAAGTGACAGTGAAGTGGGCTGGCTGGGAGTATGTGCTATAGTCTCATAGCTTATAGCAGTCAGACACTGTTTTTTAAGTAACCAAAAAGCTACAATTCTTTTTTAATTTGGAGAAAAGTAATATGTTACTATTACAAATTACAACAGCAACTAACCAATAGGCAAGGAGGCTTGGTGCTATAATGGTAAAGAATTACTTTTTTAACATTTCATGTTGCACTGCTACGTAACAGTTCACACCCAGATTTCTTTTCTGTTGTAGTGAGCATAAACTACTGACAGCAGCCTAGCATTTCCCCACCCCTATTCTCACAATATCATTACTAAAAAGTTCATTGCTAAAGGAACCTGCACTGACCTTTATATAGACCATGGCCAATATAGCACCTGTATAAAGATACTTCTCTCCCACAATAGCAGGTTCACATACAACCTACCTCCTCCCGCTACCCTGTTTCCATGCCCCCAAAAGCACCTACCTTCATAGCAGTCCCTCACTGTGCCAAAATACACATAGTACTGGTCATTGGTGAAGAAAAGGAGGCTGAGCCATGAATCAACAGCATAAATGGGCACAATGAAAAGAATCCGGACAATATAGCGCTGCTCATTGGGGCAACTGTAGCAACGCAGATGCATATAGATCTGGATGAAAGAAAACAGAGGGTGGGATCAGAAACAAATCACACTGAAAAATGAATCAGAGAAGAGAATGAGAAAACGGGAATGCCACACCCTACACTAAGCAATTATATTTATTTCCAGGCTCTCGTAAGACTTTATGCTCAGAGGTTATAACTTAGTGGTTTCACAATCCAAACTCTATTTTCATCTGCCCTTTCTCCTGTAAGAGGGATAATGATTAAGGAGCAAAATACATTTCAAAAGTAAATTAGCTTATAAATATATAAATTGCTCTAAAGCATTATCAATTCATGTCCTGCAACACATTTATTCTAAAACTGGAGGGGAAGCAACTGTTGTCCCACAGCTGAGAGTTGCATGTGACAAAGAGATCTCTGCTTCTAATAAACTTCCACTGACCTCTCAAAAGTTAAAACAATTGCCATTTCAAAGTTATAAAACCAGAACAGAAGCTCTGAATGACATCCTTTCAGCTGAAATTTATTCACTTTAATTCTAAAGTGTGTCATATCCACCCACTTATAATGCCAGTAGGCTGGAATATAGGACACACAAAAAACTGTATCACTAGCTAAATTACGACAATAGTGAAAATAGTCTTGTAGCATCTTAAACACTAAGAGGTTTTATTTGATATAAACCAGTGGTTCTTAACCTTTTTGAAAGAAACGCCCCCTTGAGCCTTTGAGGAAGTTATCATCGCCCCCCTCCCCGTGGTGATGATATCTTATTTATTTATTTATTTATTTATTTATTCATTCATTCATTCATTCATTCATTCATTCATTCATTCATTCATTTCAGACACTTAAATCCAATGACCCCTGAAAACAAAATTAAATTCCAAGAAAATGAAATGCCCCCCAAAAAGTAATCATCTTAAACACTAAGAAGTTTTATTTGATATAAACTTTCCCAGATTGCAGCCAAATATGATAGTGCAGCTATTCTGTACCACCTTTTTCAATCACAGTATAGAGGTATGCACTTCATTGTTATAACATATTAGTTCTGGAAAACCAAATTAAACATATGTGCGTGCACATGCACACATGTACACACAGAACTACATATGGCATATAAATTCCTAGCACTGTATAATAAAAAAAAACCCTGTGATGTTATAATCCTTATAATGATTGAATAAGCCTAAACACATCTTTAATTTACAGTAACATACAGAAACATTTCTAAATGAGGGCACTCTATCCCTACATCATGCTTTCCAATAACAAAAAGGTACACTTCATAAAGCACCAATAGCAACTTCAGCTAGGAATGAGATTTTTGTATTGAACTCAGAAATGTAGAGTTTTTTTTCTCATTTACAGCACCCGCTGTAAGTTATATAAAACACCTAGAAGGCTTGGGGGGGGCTAACACCCCAGAATTTTTCTTGAGGTAATTCTAGCAGACTCCTTGGTGTTGCAGTTAAAAAAAAATAACAATCCCATCCTTAACTACAACTAAATGTGTAGCAAATGATCAACTAATATTCTGAAGATTCATCACTGTTGCTTGAATATATGCCAGGTAAAATGCTATTCTGATTCAGAAATAACTAATCCACTTGTGAATCTCACTCAGCCAGTTGCTTCAACAGCCTGCTATGTAGCTCTTCAAGTGACAGTCACATAACTATTTGTTAATGTAAACAGTGCTGAGCCCCAGCTGATAAACTGTATGGTTTGGATGTGTTGCTTGTCACTATTAGGAAGCATTACAAATTAGGATGCGAAATCTGGCTTGTACCTATTGGCACCTAGCCCCTGATGAAATATAGTGATCAGTCCTTATAGCAAGGAAGATGGAAGAAGAAGAAAAATATTTTCTTCTCATCAGAGTGCAGGTAGGTTGGTGGAAGTCGTCATAGAGAGTTCACCATGGGCAGACATTTTAAATGATCAATGGCTATTTATTCCATATATGAAGAATGGACAGAAAGAGAGAAGAGGAAGATAGAGCCCAGGGGCTATTAAATCATATGAATTACATCTTATCATCATCTACATGTCACTCCTTCTCACTCTCCCCTTAATTAAATGCAAAGATTTAAAATGCTTTCCAACTACATTACTAGGTGGGCAGTGCCTTGCCTACATGTCAGTGAAGATAAAAAAACCTATGACTACATAGGATTTGAGGGGAGAGCCCTCCTCAGCCTGTAACAGTAATCTAGCTCATAGTTTTGTAAGGGTCAGAACAGAATCTTGATCTTCCATAACTTTGATACTGCCCTGCTTTTCTCTACAAATTACTGCCTAAGCTCATAGACACTGTAAGTTTCATGTTAAGTGAGAAAACTAATTTCTGGACAATTTCCCGGCAGTTGTTGTCTTTGGGACACACTGGCACAATTTGCTCTGGAGATTGTTTTTCTCATACACAAATGATCAGAACAGCCAAATTCCACAGAGTACTGAGAGTAGAAATCATGTGACTAAAAAGAGTCTAACCCTTTTTAAACACATAATTTCTACTCTCAATATTCTGTGGAAACAGAACTACTTTACTGTTGCAAACAGCTGCCCCACACATCTCTCACCCAATAAAACTCTTTACTACATTTTTTTTTTAAAATGTAAAGCCCCATTCTCTTCTTCAGTGTTACCATTTCATGGCTTGGTTCAAATGAGTTACTTGTGTGTCCAATACAAATGAGAGCTACTTGTGTGTCCAATATAAAAGCAGAATGGGTTGCCATAACATATATGTTATGAGCCATAATATTAAATAATGTGGCTACTGCAGAGCACTATTTCAGCACATGAGTATTTGCTTCTTTTACCGCCACATCTCAGGAAATATGACTTTGATGTCATCAGAAACAAAGGATATGCCTTTGACACTGGCAAAATACTGGGCCTTGCAGGTGTTTTTGATTACAACTCCATTATCTCTGTCCATTAGCTAAGCTGGCTCATATTGATGCTATCTGCTGAGCCAAACATTTAGAGGGCACCAGGTTGCTTTCCCTGTCTTCTAGATAGCATTAAAAATCCTTAAAGTGTTTTTGTTTACCTGATGGCAGGTGATGAGCAAAGCTGTCCACACAAAGAAACCTGAGATGGCCTGGGCAGCTGTAGTCATTAGGAATATTGGTTGCTCCACAGCAGTGGGTCTGCCATCCTCGGGCATCCAGGATAAATTGGGGGCTGCAGCACGGGTGCTGTCAGGAAAGCCCAAGTCAGGTGCTGACATTACTCCAGTCACTACAATCATCATGTATTTTTGTAGTCACCTTGCAGTTGTGGATCCTTTAAGCCTGGACGGGAACAAAACACAAGAAAAGATTCAGCAGGAAAAAAGTCAAAGGCTGAAATCCTATTGCATCACACCTGAGGAAGGGCAATAGCATCACTGGCAGAAGTGATATTCAGTAATTTAAAACTTCTGTCCTGTGGCTTTTCAGACTTCTGTGTAATTCCTTTCACATGAAAGACTTGGAACAGAAGAAGGAAGTCTTTAATTGGTGGAAATAGCTGCCTGGTGATATTACTTGCAGGGGAAGATTTCATAATGTCTCCAATTACAAAGATTCATGGGATTCTGAAAATCATTTTGATTTTAAAAGCCTGGGACATAATGCATGAATGGAGCTACCTTTGAACAGTAGGAGGAGTTGGATGCACCAACATTTAATAATCTACTGCAGCGGTCCCCAACCTTTTGGGGACCATGGACTGGTTGTGGGAGCAGGCCCCCTGCGTGAGCGAGACATGCCCCTGCGCAAGCGTGGCATCCCCCGTGAGTGCAACACCCCCCCTACACGAGTGCGACACCCTCCCACGAGTGTGATACAACCCCCGAGTGAGTGTGATATGCCCCCTGTGTGAGTGCAACATGCCCCCGCGTGAGCATGACATGCCCACCGGGCGGGGGGCAGAGATCCATCTCCGCGGCCCAGTTCCGGCAAGCCCACAGACTGACACCGGCCTGTGGACTGGAGGTTGGGGACCCCTAATCTACTGGACTATCCCCAGTCACTCAATTACATGCAGCAGACGCAGGCATATTACAAATGTGTAGATTGTGCTTATTTTTATAAGAATTCAAAGCCAGATGAAAATGGTAACAATGAAGAAGAGATAAAAACAGATTATCTGTATACACAGATAAAAAATCTAGTCCAAGTTACTTGTTAAAGAATTAGAGATTATAACAACCTGATTTAGATAGAGGAGAAATGCTATTCTGTTTTTTTCCCAATGAACTGCAAGTCATCTGCATCTACCAGCAGATCCTCATTTGTCTTCTGTACTGCAGGAAGGAAGACACAGAACATCATTTCTTTATGTTGTTGTTATGGCTGTCAATTTGCTTCCAATGTATAGGGATTGGAGATGGGGTACAAATACGAATATCCCCGCACAGCTAAAGTTAATAAGGGTCTGGCCGCCCGTAACACTGACACATACAGTACATTCCTTGAATGGCTAGTTTCTCAGTTACATTTGTTTGGTATCCTTTATTCTGTATTCAGTACACCTTACAAACTGTGCTACAAAAACAAAGGTAGCCATGCTTGTCCATGAGAAAAAGCAAAATTCACATTGGGGCAATATCTTCATTAGATAAATACCACAAGCATTTAGTGGTGTACAAGCTTTTTTGGGTTCTCATTTCAGGCAAGGCAACAGACAGACTTCTGAGTCACAACCATTTTTTGTGCTTTTATAAGATCAGCCCTTGCTTTCATAAGACCAGCCTTTTACACATTACATATAACTACTAGTAATCTTCTGGTCATCAACCATCACTTTGTGACAGCTTTCAACTGCAGAATTCACAGCCACAACATCTGGCCTAATTATTGGACTTGTCCATTTCCTCCATTTCATATGTTTTTATACCATCTAGTATGATGAAGAGATGTAGAGAACACAAATGACTGAGCTACGAGGTATGATATCTTAGAAAACAATTTTGTATTATTGATCTACTGCAATTATAGTATGCAACAGAGCAATGTAAAATGAAACATATTATTTGTCTGTGTTTAGTTAGTACAGATAATACAGCAGATACAGCATGCTCCATTTTTCAACAGTAATGTTCCTTCAAAATCTATTAGGTTAGATACAACCAGGTAGGAAAACCCTCAAACATTTATGGTCAAATTGTCATTGTTATTACCTATGTTCAGTCTAGATATCACACCAAAATTGAAAAGATGCATGAGCAATTAAGAGTAGCAGATAGTTTTTAACTCACTATTGAAAGTCATAAGCAAATACTCTTGAATCTAAAAAATAAAATATGAAGAGAAAAATCAATATAATTTATCTACATAAAGGAAAAAATGTGGGAAACTTGGTATTTCTAAATGCATTGCTTATATCTGTCTTCTCCTGGTGAACAGGCTATAAAGAGAATCAAACATGCAGTTCCTGTGTTTTGCTTTCTTTTTGCCCTACGAGAAAAGAGCAAGTAAGGCAAGCATACAGAGAGAAGTAACCAGACTCCTTTCAAAACAGATCTATTCTGTTGTTATAGAAGGACCAGCCGCATCTCTAGTTACGTAACAATCCCTACTCCAGTTCTCTCTTTTAAAAAAGAAAGAAAGAAATGTTCAATACTGAAAAATTCACCATTTGGAGTAACATATTCCATAGGTAAATCTTTGTACAATAGTGAGTTTTAAAAAAACCTTCTGAGGACTGCAAAACTACTACAGTATTGTTGCTCCTGATGCTGCTACTGTTAAAATAAGATTGAAACTGAAGAATCCGTATACTGTAGAGTACAAAAAAAGTAAGGAAGTGACATAGCCTACATCTGATTAGCACCACAGCTTTAAAGCATTTCGGCCCTAAGCTGGTTCTTGTTTCTCTTAACTAGTCATTTGCATACAACAGGTATTGGCCTCAGATAGGGATGGACATTCCACTTTACTGGTTTGTCACATGTGATTTGAAAACAACCATCCTATTTTTTTCCCAAGCAAGTCTTCACAGTAACAACCTAAGGACAAATGCTGAAAAGATAAGAGTAAAATTAAATCAATGAAGAAATAGTGAGGCTAAGGTTTGGGGGTTTATTGATAATGTAACATAGAAATCCAGGGCTGTGAAATTACAAAATCAATCTCAAGCTTTGCAGAAGTGAATTTCAAACAAGGATTTCAGGTAGCGGAAAAAAATAGAGAAAGTGTAATGTTCTAGATGTGACAGGACATACCTCATGAAAATTGAAGTTAGAAACCTAGCAATGGTGGAAAGAGTGGTTTGTATCATGTGGAGCAGAAACAAGAAAAGGAAATATCAAGAAGAGGAAGAAGAAGAAGAAGAAGAAGAAGGAGAGAAGGAGGAGGAGGATCTCATAAGACCCATCTCCAAAAAACGAAAGCGGCTTGAAAGTTGTGCTCAGGAGCCTTTTGCTAAGACTGGAGAAGACCAGTTTCCTTCTAACAACATTCCACAACTTTGAAAATCCCGCTGGGCACAATAAGAGATTTTTGCTAAATTTACATAGAACAGATTTGAGTCAATTGAGCATGGATTGAAAAAATGAAAGAAATTAACAGTATCTGTGGGGTTGAGGAGCTTGTGTTCCTCAGTTCTAGGATTCTCTAGAAAAGTTGCTACATTATAATACAGTATGCTCATAGATCTTTTAAACCTCCATGGCACCTACAACAACAGCATATCTGCTGTTTTTCAGCCCTGAATCTGCCAGGGTTTTTTGTTGTTGATTATAATGGTGGTAGGTTGTTGTTTTGCTTTTGCTTTTCAATAGGGGAAATCACATATCCATAGCCGTCAAAATAATTCATTTGGTATAATGAAACAACTAAGAAAATATAGTCTTTGGACTTGTTTTCTTCACTGTCTGTCCATACTTAAGCCTATCAGAAAGAAAGAGAGATGTATCTGAAATTTCTTTATCCCTCAATTCTTGTGGCCACTGCAGTCTTTCCTTTCTTCTACAGCTCCTCCCCACTCCATTCCAAACACATACTGTGTCCTAGTACATGCATATTGTGAATAATGCATCCCTCTAACTAAATACCTAATATTACTTTAAAATGCTGCAGCTGCATTTCTCTTCTGCTTGAAAGGGTTTAAAAACACATTGGCTCCAGTAGTAAGTCACAACAAGAGTAGGCCCATTGAATCAACAGAACTTACAGAAGAGTTGACTAATCAAATTCCCATTGATTCAACAGGTCCAGGATAGTTGCAGTTAACTGGATTTCCACCAGTAATGCATAATTCTGATCTCAAACGAGATAACTCAGCAGTGCAGTGACAACAGGTCACGAGACACTGTATATTTAAGGTCTGTGGTCTATCTGGGTACTGTATTTGAGACTGCTGGTCTGGTAGCAATTCCTCAACAGCAAACAAGTACCTTGAATGAACTACCAGAATGTCCTTTTAAATTTTGTGTTCTAAGTATTTGACACTCAATATACCTCTGGCACCCATTCTTACAGAGTAACAGAGAACAGACTAACAGAGTGATCAGCTGAGACAAGGAAGAGAACAACGCAGAAGGAAATAAAAAGTTAATTCTTAATTGCATTTTATATGTTATAGTTATAAACCAGCTGGAGTGGGAGGAAAAAAGAGAAGTAGCTAGGGCTGATACTATACCTTTTAGTTCTAAAAATAATCACCTTCATTTTGGATGTACAACCTGGCCTCAGAGATAAAAAATGGGTTCAGAAACACCTTCAAACAAAACACTTCTTTCTTTAGAAGAAATTAAACCCTTTGAGAACAACTGGACAACCTCATTCATGAACCTGTGAACTACTTGACCTCATGGTCTCTGTCTATCACAATACACCTTCTGTTTGCTGTTCTTTATAACTGTATTCACACACTAGTTCCCAACATGTACGAGCCTTCCTATGAGCAGAGAGACATCAGTGTGCCGTCCTCCAGTACATCTGCACCTGACGAAGACCGTGGTTGTATAGAAGGGGTGCCAGTGGAGATAGAATGAGAGGAGAAAGTAGAGGGGAAGGCGACGGAGGTTTGCTTGGCTGACGATAAGGGGGTGGAGCAGGATTTGATTGCTTGGGAGGAGGTCTTAAATGTGGGGGAAAACGCATGGGCTTTTTGGATAACGGACAGACCAGCCGAGGAAAAGAAGGATAAGGCAGTACAGACAGACTGAGATGGTGAGCATGGAGACATAACTGGACTGCTAAAGGAGTTCCCTAATCTCCGCACTGGAGGGGGTCTGCTACCAGATCCCGTGGGAGATAATGCAGCGAAAGGGGAACTTGAGCCATTAGAATGGACAGTGGTCATG